CCAAATGCTTTATAAGATAGTATATATACATATATATATATATATATATATATATTCTAACAAAAATCAAAGAAAACTATCGAGTACTGAGTCTTATTTTTTTATATAAAGTTTGGGTTTTAAATTCACATGAAAATCAGTAAAATGAACTCAAAAATCATATCTACTAAACTAAAATATGTGACATAAAACTACTAAGGTTCAGCAAAGAACTTAAAATCTAAGCTAACTACATAAAAAAAAAACTCGATTGGTTGAGTATTTTTATCTCCAATTGTCGAGAACCAGAATTTTTCGACTTCAAACTTAACATTCTATTTGGTAAAATTCCTATTTTCTCTAAGTCTAAAGTGTAGAGGAAGATATTGGCAACTTATATCTGATTTTTATTTGTTTTAATAGTTGAAAAATCTAGCCAACACAAAGTTTGAAAGGAGGAGAAGTTTACCAAATTCCGAAAAAATAATCAGATATATTCTTTTGACATAACAAGTCTCTTAAGTATGAGAAGGGCGAACTACTCTTAACTATCAACTAATGATGTTTAGCCTGCTAGCATCCATACTCTGGCTAACTTACTATTTTTTACCTCTAATCCACATTTTCTTTCAATTTTTCGTCTGATGAACATAAAAAAAATTTAGGGTTTGACATATGTAACAGATTATCCTATGTGGTTTTTATATCATTTTAAGTTTGACACGTCAACAATGAAAAGTTTGTTTAAAACATGCTATAACAAGTAAAAATCCTTAATAAAAAATATTTTAAAACTATATTGTCGGTTTCATAAATTAAATAAGAATGATAATAGGAATAGCATCTTATCCCGGTAAATGATGGTAAGGACTCTTACTGAGGTAAACATTTTACCGGATAAATTGTTACGTAAGATACCGTTTTAATATACTACAATCTTATATGGTAAAATAAATTATAACGTTCAGAAACCCTAATCAAAGATGGATCTTTGAGAAACCCTAATCAAAGCTTCGGAAAAACAAGTATTATGCAGAGTTTCAAAAGTTATCTTGCATGGGATAAAGATGAAGAAAGACATCTCTGGACGTCAATCACCACAAACCAAGTTCTGATCCAAGAACAAATCCATAATCAAAAAGAAGGAATATTTAGATCAAGAAAACCCATAACGATTAGGTCGTAAACTTAGGAAAAGATGACATCATTCACGTTCATAACCAAAAAGACAATCAACCTACTACCAAATCAACGTCTTACAGAAGTGGATTCCATAACTGCATGAGTGCAAACAAAAACAAGATTATTAAGGATTAATGGCCATGAAGATTAGCGAAATACTGCTGAGGGTTAGYTTCAAATACAGCCCTTGCTATCATCTCCCCAGGCCTTCCAGGAGCTTTCATCATCTTCACCGSCGATTTTCCTCCGACATTGAAAAGAAACTTGAAGATTGCGAGGATGATTGAGAAGCAGGCTTTGGCAAAGATGCCCATCTTCCCGTATGTGTTTGTGTGTGTGATGCGGCTGTGTGTTGGGTACTTGAGATACATGAATATATATATACACAGACACACAGAGAATTGTAACCGACGGCTTTTTGGGCATCTGAAAATCTCTTCGATTACTGTAATATTATTTCAATTTGAGAAAAAAACTCTTTGGATTTCTCTGACAGGGATGGAAAAGCGAGCATCTCTAATGTATCCATTTGAGGGAATCTTTGGTTGATAAAATTGTTTTAAAGTATTTGCATTTCGTGTAAATATTTAGAGCTGTTTGAGATTGCTTATAAATACAATTGATTAATTTATTTTGTTGTGGTATCGGTAATAAGCATTTTTGAGTGTTTGGATAAACAAAAACTTATACCGGTGGCAAACTGGTAATAATGAGTTTTTTTAAAGAAGTTAAACCCTTCTGACTTATAATAAGTTGATAAGTGTTTTTATATAAAAACATAAGTTGTTTCAAATAAGCAACCCCAAATAGCCCTTTAGAATATAAAGGATTTAGGTTCGAAAGTATTTGGAATGTTTGGATTTTTCTATTTGAATTCTAATTCTTTGTAAATTATTTATAAAAATAAGTTATAGATAATTATAAAAATAATTATTTTTTTCTTATAGATTATTACAAAATCATTCTTTTTGACATTTTTTTAAAATATTATTATATAAAATCATATGAAATTCTATGAAATACTAACAACCCAGTATATTTCAAAATCCTACGATTGTATTTTCAATGAAATCCTTGTTTTTAAATCCAATTAACCTTTTAAACCGAAAATTGGATTAAAATTGAAATTCAATTCCAAATACAATCAAATACTGCAAACCAAACAAGACCCTTAAAGCATCTTCAACAGTTATATTATATTTTCTCTAAAATAGAGTAATAAAACTCAAAATCTCTAAAAGAATTACTTTCAACACCAACACTACTCTATTTTATATTAAAAGCATTCATCTTTCAAGTGTTGAAAATAGAACCGTATGGTTCTTTATATGAGAAAATTTGAAAACTGATGTTATGCTATGATTAGCATAATTTGGTATTTTGATATGTTAATATCAAATGATTGGAATAGGGTAGCATAATTCAGAGAGGTGTATTTTGTGATAAGGGTTGCATAATATTTGCTAATTATACTAAAAGATAGTAGGTATTTAGAGATAATGTAAAAGGATGGACAATAAAATCATTGTYAACAATACGTTGGGAGAGTCGTATTGATAGTGTAAAAATCATAAGTTTTCAAGTGTTGGATATTATTTCAAGTAGATGAATTTGATAAAGATACAAAAATTAGTAGTGAAGCAACAACATTGGCACAAATGAGCTTGGTGATTTTGAATTTTTAGTCTCAATTCTTGTATTTAGATAAATTTTATCATTAATCCATCACTAATTTAATCAAATTATTTTCTATTCTTTTAATTTGATTTTTCA